CGGCATTTTTTTTCAAGTTGATAATAGCTCGTCAGGATTCAAGGGTGTCCTTACATAAAGGCATCGATGTGCTAGTACCCTTATGAATTTGGGTATCTTAAAAAAAGAAACCCTCATCAGAGTCATTCTTATGAAGGTCTTAATGCTGGCGAAGAGTCGCCAACTTTCATAAAGGTGCCGGCATCGTTATAAGGTTTTATGAAATAAGCCTAGTGGCGAGACACGAAAATTCTAACTATTATGAGGTTAAAACGCTGAATTTTACATGTTAGTTTAGTCTTCTGTTTTTTAGTGTGTCATTCTTTCTTTTTCTGTGAATTTATCGAATTTTTCTGCATAAATTTTACTTTCTGATTAATATAACAAAGCAGCGTCACAAGCGCCGGCCTCTTAGGAAAGTTCCCGAGTTTCTGCCCTTGAGTTGAAGCCTGACATTATGAAATGCGAAGGCATATAGAACATAAAGCTCTCTAGAAAAGCATATAGAATTATATAAATGGTTCCTTATTTAACTTATTGAAAATCAGGAAAGTTTATTGTTGTAAACTTATTGTAAAAATTCACTGATAAATTGTTACGTCTCTTAACCATCTTTTAAGATACATTTATTTTTAATGCAGCTCATTTGCAGCTCATGCAAAACTCGATATTATAAATAACAGCTCCTTTACTTTCTGCAAACAAGATTATAATGCTGACAGAAAGCTTGAAAGTTTCCGGATAGATCTAGGCTTATAATCAACTGATTCTGATTTTACATTTTCGAAAACTTATTCGTGCCTAATATAATATCATGTACTCTCAATTAATGAAAACCTTGTATTTCATCTCTTTTGTTTTGCCATTCACATTATCCACTATAAATTATATGAAGCTGTCTATGTCCAATTAACTCTCGGATACGCTTGCATGGTCTGACATTATCCCATATCTATACGTTTAGCATAAAAGGATTAATAATGGTAGCTTTCAACAAGACAGTGATTTTGATTTTGTCATGTAATCAAAATCTTCGGTTTTCGTTTAATTCTGCGAATAGAAAAATCATACTCAAAATTCAATTCCTTTATTAGTGATTATATTTGAAGTCTGGCTTGTTTTTGTTTTATTTTAATCACATTTTACATTATAAAATTCGTTTTCACAAAATTTATTTTGTTTGTAAGAGAATTTATCTTTGAAACGATCTTCCATGTTAAGGTTCTGTCGGGTGAATTTATTATTTGTAACATATTTAAGTTGTAGTTTTTCAAAGGTATTGTATTTATCAAAACAGTAAAAATATTAAATCGATTGATCTTATAACAGTTTTATCCATTTTAAATGGAATTCAGAAAGACTAGTACTTGATTCATGAATTGTTGATCTGCCAGTTAAAGTATATTTATCAAAATAGGTGTCAAAATTCAGTCAATGATCTTAGAATAAGCTGTTTTGTTTTTGTTGGTGTGTATGTATATGTTTAAAAATATTTTTATCATCAAGGTTACCCGGAAGAAAAATAATCAGTGGTCTCATCTACGTTTTCTATATCTTGTAACAGTTTATTCATTTCTTTCTAAGTCATTCAAAGTCTGTGTGATCCCGTTTAAATAGTGCGTGACAACCTTCTTTCAAACAATTCTACCTCTATAATTAATTTAACAATGTATGTGGATGTAAGGACTTCTTGTATTGCATTAGCTATTGTTTTCCTTATCTTTTGTTATCATATTATCATTTACTTCAGAAAGACCTTTTCAGATTTCTGAAATATTTGCTATCTAAAGCTTCCGGAACAGAATTCTAGTGCTGAACTCAGCTCATCATAAACAAAGCAGTGACTATGACCTGCTAATTCAAGCAGGATGCACTAAAACTAAAGATAAAAATTCAACATTTATATTAAGCATTAGAGAAATTTTAGACTGTAGTTTTAAATAAGAAAATTCGAAGTATTTCAAGATTCAATGCAAATAAGTTTTGCCGTTAAGAATGAAATTTATTTTTTAAAATGGGTAAAATTTTTCGTTTGAAATCAACAGCAATCTAATATTGAAATTAAAACAAATTTTGCTGTTCAGACTTATTCGAAATTTAATTGGTGTACTTCTGCTAGCTCTTAAACTTTGCTAATGATTTACAAAGCATCTTATACTTCTGGTGAGATTTGTAAGTTGCATAAAATTTTTTGAAATCTATAATTAATTTTAACTTTAGTGTCAAAGGTATAGTTAAGATCATTTTTCCTATTGTTGGCAAAAATATATGGAAATATGCAAAACAATTCATGCAGATAAAAAGAAATTTAATTCTTCTAATTGAATGGAAAAGCATCGCCTTGAAATGTCAGATTTCGCAAGATAAACTATAACTGCATGAAATATAACAAGATTTTCGTAAGAAATAATTGCCGCCTTTCCAAAAAATAATGAATGGAAATTATTGTGGAGAGTTAACACCCACTGGGAAAATCCATGTTTCTGAAAAGCTGCAGCTGTAAAATGTAAACTATTTTTTTAATTTAAATGTTTATGCGACAAGCTCTAATTTACTCTTAGTTATGCTTCGAGCAAAATACAAGCTTATATGTACTGATTTGAGGACTTAATGATTCAATAATATGAATATTTTACCGTCATTTGTCTTAAACCAAACTTCGACTAAGAGAAGAGAAATTAAGCGGAGTATTAACATTTTACGATTGTTGCAATCAATTTACTGTCGACCTTTATTTATTCATTTTGTCAAGTAGCTAGCTATATAGCATTCATAATGGTAAATACGTATCTTATTTCAGCTTCGGAAAACACACACATAATTAATTTCGTTATTATTTTAATGGATTTTGAATGAAGGAAAAAGATAATTTTCTTATTCTGAAAGTTAGTGGGAAATTCTTGATCCATTTTCATATTAGTTTTATTCTTGAAGCATTGTCAAATTTTTTCATCTATTCCCGAAACGATATTTTATTGAATAATTTACTATCAGAAAATTAACTTCAGTCAAAATGGTTTCTTGCAAAACTTAAGCATCTTTCCACTTCTTTCTGTTCTATCTGTTTCTGTTATTACTGGTTAAATAGCGTAGTCAATTAATCCACGACGAAATTTCTTCTTCAAATTTTACTATGAAGCTTTTTCTTAAGGGTAATGCGATTCATACCGAATTCACAGAAGTTATTCTAGAATTCATAGTTGCTTGATCATTGAATGTATTCTTATTCTGGCAAAATTATAATCATTCTTTTACGGGCTCCAATTAGCCTAATGCACATTAACTATTTAAAGCAATTAAAGAATATATTTAAGGAATATATTAATTCTTATTTAAAGAGTTCGGGATTTATACTGAAGCAGAAAAACTGCGCTAATTACTGTGTGCATAAACTTCAGTTTTTTTTTTTTTTTTTTTTTCTTTTTCAGTCTGCTATGGAAGCATGGTCCAGTACAGAAACACTGAAGGATATAGTGTTTCACTACAAACTAAACAGAACATAAGCTTACAACCTTTATGTGAGCTTTAAGAAGAAATATTTTCTCATATAGAAGTTAACATGTTTAGTTGCGATTAGATAAGATGTTCAGTTGCGATAAACTGCAGTGCGAGCATAGGTATGTTATATTATTTTGAGCTATTTGCAAAAAAATCTCAAAGAAAACTTGACAGCGAATCTCAAAACGGATTTTCTGATAGTAACAAAGCAGTAATTCATACTCAATACAGGTAACTCTTTTTTAAATTAGTATCATTAAATTATGTTTCCTGAAAAGAAAATGTAATTTATCTTCTAGAACTTAGTTCACCCTGGACTTTTGTTCGGAATTCGACTGAGGATTGTTTGAGCTGAGGATTGTTTGTTTTGAGGGAAGCTGCAAAACGTAGTTTCATGGTTTTCTTCTTAACCTTTAGGAGGCTTAACACTGAGATAGATTCCTTATGTAATGCTGCCTTAAACCTACTTCTCTTAAGAAACATGCTAGCTTATAAAGTACGTTCTCCTTCCTTTCAGCACTCCTTCCACCTTCCTTGCTTTTGTGTTGTTCCTTTTGCTTTCGTGTTGTTCCTTGCTTTCGTGTTGTTCGTGTTTCGTGTTCGTGTTGTGTTTTCGGTAGTATGCTTGGCACGTGTCGAGAGATCCAAGTTTGAGTCCCCGCGAGGGCATTGCTCATTTTTCAAGTCTCTTGCTTCAAAAAGAAGCGTATCAAAGCATACGCATAAAGTACACTTGTGGCTCTTAAGGAGTTAAAGGTTCCTAAAGATCCTGATAGCGTCTGCACAAAGGACGTTAGCAGATAAATATTTGATTGACTTTATAAAATTCGAACTAATATAGAAAATGAATTGAGTAATCAAAATAGAAAATCACGTAACCTGACACTTTTGAATGAATGTAGTGATAATTGGTTTTGCAGTTTGTAAACAAGATTTATAGTAAAAGATTCCTTTTATTTTTTTTATTTTGAAGCATTAATCACTTAGCAATACTTTTTTGGGGTACATTATTCTTTGTACATCTTCATAAGCGATTCATAATTTTATTAGTGTAATAGTATTAAAAAACGGAGACACCGCATTTCTGCTTCCGTTTTTTCTTTAAAAGACTACAAGAAAACCTTGAAGAGGGACAATCCATTATGCAAACTGATAATCTCCAGGATTATTAATTATTTTGTCTATAACGATCACCTGAACAAAGAGACTAAAACAATCCATTGCAAATTTATAATCACCATAATCAAAAATCGTCTAGCATAAGACGACCATCCACACAAACAGACTAAAATTTTCTGAAGTTACGTTACTAGTCTTACAAATAATTCATTATGTTTTGATTTTGACTAACAGCTTCTTTGGCTTAAATCACATAGGAGGTTGATTTTGACTCTTATCTGAAATTTAAAGAAACTATTTAGGGAATGTAATAAGCAACTGTAATGTATATCTATCATAAATATATATTCTGCTGGCAGAATAAAATGCTGTTGGAAAGCAACGCCAACGGAAGACAACACATATTCATTAAAATTAGTAAAAATATTTATTTACAATAAAAAAAACCATGTAAAATAAGAATAAGTTAATAAATAAATAAACACAACAACACACAAAAATGGCATATTTAGGGAACATAACCCTGATATCAGATCGCAAAATCCTTTTGAATTCTAAAAAATTTGGCAAATGCGCCTGTCTGCATCGAAGCAATTTCGAGGGAAAGAATTTTGGTTAATTTACTTCCGAAATACATTAACTGAATTAAAATAACATGAGCGCCACAACGTTATATAATTGAAAGTGTTCCAGTTTTGGAACAAAATATTTCCTAAATGCTTATAAGCCCTTAAATGAAATAAATACGACTATATTCAAACAGATTCATTCACTAAATTCAAACAGATAACGGGAAAGCTAAGTGGAGAAAGGATTAATATTTGAATATTAAGAATATAGTCAATATAATTCTAAAGGCAATTTTTCTTACCTAAGTCAAAATTCGCTTTTGATCATTTACTTATATACGTGGTGTTCATTACGTGCATCCTACGTGAAAATTGCTCCTAACTTGAGAGAGTTTTAGAAAATTTAAATTAAGCTGTCGTGTAGACACGAACTTCTTAAAAATGTGTTCGACGATAGACAGATGATATGAAATAAAGTTAAAAACGTCCAGTTTTGCGTTGGGTTATAAAAGCCCGTTTTTATATCAGTAGGTTTTCCATTTCGTGCTTTGCCCCTGCGTTCTTTTTCCCTTCGTTCGCTTCATGAAATAGTCCAGAGAGTACAAGCACCTGGGGTACATTTCTCCGCAGTTGCATTGCTGCTCTCCCCGAATTGCAGCTTCTTCATAATATTCAAACACGTACTTGGCTAGTGGAACCACCCTTGGATTTTGGATTTCTCGTCGCATCTCTCTGGAAAGAATCATACAAATTAACATTTAATTTTCCAATAGTTAATAATGTTATACCTAATCGATTCGCACAAATGAAAATATAAAATTATAAAAGAAGAAATAAAAAATGAAAGATGCATATTTTGGCTGCCAGTACCCAACAGCTTGAAAGGATAAAGAAAACTAATAGAAATTTAATCTTTGAAAAATTCAGACAGATTAGGAAAATTTCTGGAAGTCACATATCTGAATGCAGAAAGATGTCTCTTATTATAATAATTTGGGCACTATGCAAACTTATATATGTGGTAATAAATACCGTGATTATATATTACATGTATAGCATAGATGCGTACAGTTAAAAAACTATCAAAGCTGCAATCTATTTTTCTCATCAGCTGCAATTCACCCTTTTCAGAGCTGACAAACCACCAGCAACTGAAAAGTAAAACCATTGTATGATATGGTTATGACAGAAGCTCAAATTCCGGGGAAAGATCTGGCTGCACGGTTTTTGTAGTTTTTACTTGCAAATAATATAAATAAGATTCAAACTTCTTTAAAAATCCTCTGTATCTTTTAATCCTTCTTCCTTTTAATCTTTTTCTTTTTCGTCGTTCAGACGATCACCAGACGTTTGGAGCCTTTCCTCTCAGTAATAAAAACACTTCAAACTTTTCATCTGCCTAAATTCATTTTGGAATAATGATACTATAGTTTGCCCCGTCTTATCCTGCACTAGAATTTTACCGGTTTTTCTTTATAATCCCCTAATTATAATTTTTTTCGTTCATTATTTGAAAAAAGCATAAGGATTTAATTTTCAGAGTCTTTTTTCAGTTGATGAGGAGCGAATTTCTTCTATTCCTTCATTGCTTCATCAACTGCAATTTTCAATTTCATATTCTTTAATTTCATTTCAAATATTTCTTTACCTTGGGAAATAACCTTTTAAACTGTCAGAAATCAGATTTTTACTTTAATATCCTCTTTCATTGCAAATTTCGAATTCCCAGCTGCATAACTTTGAAACAATATTCAGATCATATTGTATGTATATACAGAACTAAATAATGATATAGTTATTATTTAGTTCTAATTAGGGGACATTGGATTATATAAAGTCTAAAAATTAGGGGAAGCTGGATTATATAAAAGTATACTCCAATGTCCCCTAATTTTTAGACTCTGGCAATCAACTTGACTGCAAATTAAAATGACGTAATTTGCGGTTTTCAAAAATAGATATATTATTTGAAAAAAAAACTGACAGAATTTTTAAGTTAACATGTACAATAAAAGATAACTTAAATAAATTGTAAAGAATTGGATTATAATTAGTTAATTAAGGACATACTTCAATGTTTGGCAAAAGAAAACATTGCGCGGGTATTTCATTGACCTCAAGTTGCCAAAAGAAAAATTTTCTCAGTGTGCGGCAAATCCTGAAGGAAAATTTACCTTTGGTGGCGAAAAACTTTTTATTTCCTTTATATGATTTAGAAGTTAATTTGAACTTAATTGCTTTTTTTTAATTTGCCTCTCTCAAAATTACATTACAATTCAAATAAATGCAGATTGCAGTTTTGTCGAAAACTTGATGTTTTCGATAAGACAAAAATTATTGGAAATAAAGAAATGCACGAAAAACCTGCAAATGCTTTTTCTTGTGCAGTGGTACATGAACATTAATGAAATTATCTACTAAATCGATGTATATAAAATTGAATCTACACAAATGTAACTATAGTTGGCAAAGCAACTCTGGTTTGGAGATATTAAAAATTTTTTTAATCTTGCCATATTTCATTAGAAAGCTTACCATTGGTGATAAAAAGCGCCCTATTTAATATATCCCTCTCTTTTTAATGTATATTATATCAGTAGCTAATGTTTTTACTTTTGTGTTATACCTAGATGTTTCATACATGTTTGTAACCACGAAAGTTCAAGACTGGAAAACCTTTTTTGTTTCACAGCAGATTAAGAAAACGTCACACATGAAATCATAATATCGATTGATTTCTCATAGCAATTTCATTATTGGTGACAACCGTAATCTCCACTATAGTTCGCCATTATATTATTCACCATTACATCTCGTAAAAAAATCAGTCTTTTTATTTTTTATGTACGTTTCATTGCGCTAAGGGAAGTGTTTTTCTAAAGTTTTAGAAGTTAATGAAAACTGGAAATCAGCGAAGTAATTACACAAAACTCATGAGGAGTTATTTCAGTAACATCAAACAGCCTCCTTTTTTAAAGCAATATCTTTCAAATGACGCAGTTTTACTTGTAAATAAAAAAACAAATTATTCTTATATCAAAGCATAATCATATATTAATAATCATAAACAATAATAATAAATTAACGAAGAAAAGTATCTCGCAGTGACGCGATGCTTTTATGCCACTTTATTCCCTTTATATACTGCTCCTTAACATTTCAAACTCTCTGAATAGTTCAACGGCCATAAAGGCCCAGCCATTAAAATCCCATATTCGCCGGCCAAGGACAAAAGGAATTCCTTTTCTCTTTACATTACGAGTCCCGAACCATCTAGTGGGAGACTAATTTCTTCTTTCTGCAGCAGATTTTGTAACTGATGTTTATCAAATTACATTAAATTTCTAAGCAGTTAGTCTCTAAATAAGGGAATCCTAAGAAGATTTGACAAGTTAAGAAAAAGCCTATTAAGAAAGCAAAAAAGGCATGTCTCCAGTTAAACACCGACAGACATGAGGACAATTAAAGTTTCAGGAGTAAAATCAAAATGTTTTCCCCATTTTCCCCTTTGTTTAAGTTTTTAGGAGCAAATTTAGTCCTTATAATGTGATCATAAAGTTGCTGAGAATCACTTATTTTCCATTTCATATATAAGCAGTTCAAAAAGTGTCCATATTTTATCTCTTAAACATTGATTTTTAAACACGTAGCTCTAAAGTTTCTCGGCGTGGCGTAGAGAATTTTATGAAAACAATCATAGGACTAAGGTTGAGATAGCTTTATAAAATTTAAATCTATTTTTGATACACCTTGTCCATATATGTGATCTGTGTTTTAAAAACCATTTGTCGTAGACATACAAAAATGTTTCAAATGACAAAAATATTTATATCATGGTCTTCAGTTTAAAAATTCAATTTTCAAAACGTTTTTTGATCTAATTTTTATACGTTCTCTTAGTCTATGTGTTTATATTTAGTAAAAGCTTATACTCTATAGAGATTTATTTAATTTACTAAACAATTATTTTATGTTTAAGGAGCTTTCCTATTGCTCACACATTCTTGCCAGAATGCAAACTGACTAACGCACGTGAATTCAAATGGGGTATAAAGAAGTTAGTATTTAAGGGAAGATTTTTGGAAGGTGGGCTGAATGAAGGCCACGTCAACTCTTGATTCTCTAGGGATTAGAATTCTGTGGGTTTGAGCTAATCTTGCCATTAACCTTGCTTACGCCGACTTTAGAGTCAGAGCTAGCTTGCGCCATAATTAACCCGTGAAGCCATTAGGCTATACTTATCTTCATTACTTTTAAGTTGTTCCTTACCTTTTAAGCTAAGCCAAAGGTGTTGGCTTTTGTAAGCACAAGTTGATGCCGTCTATGAACTTTGAGTTAATAAAGGGTTCTTTACATCCTTCTCCTGACTTTGTAGTACTTACCCGGTGATAATTCACCAAACAGCTTTCATTGTCGAATACATTTTATGATCCCATGCAAAAAGGACATTATAACCCATTCAAAAAAAATAAAATCTAGATAGTTTGACTGAATTAAAATTGACCGAGATTTTTAATATTCAACTTCCCTCCTAATTTTCCTTCCCCTACAGCCACTACGCCATCGTTCTTTGGCTTTCCTTGGGGGTTCAGTTAAAAAATTATTCATTTTTTATTCCCAATATTGCAGCAAACACGTTAAAATAGAAATAATTTTACTCAAAGCATTTGTAAAAATCAATCTTCATGCAGAAGAGACCTTGGGTTACGGCAATTTTTTAATTGTAATATTAGTTATATTTAGGCAACTAGTTTCTTTCTTGCTCGGAGCAACAAACGCTCATGCTGCCATCTGGAGAAAGAATATAAAAGTTGCAAGTGCGTGTTCTATACAATAATTACACTTGTCATATATCATAATAATACACTTTAAATGAAATTTTGTAATAAATGAAATGTAATAATGAAATTTGTAATAATGAAATTTTGTAATTTTTAGAAATCAAATAAATTAAAAATTTCTCACCCAACAAGCTTAATGAAATTTCTCTCAAAAAGTCCTGAGCTAATTTCATTCGCACTTTTTCTGTGGATCTCACAAGTTGCTCTTAGTTGACATTGAGGCTCAGTAATTCCGTATTTTTCCAAAGCAACTTCAACAGATATTAAAAGATTCAACAGCTGCTGAGCGTATGCCAAATCTCGTTTACCTCGATGATGACGATTTAAGACTCGACCCGGGTCGTCTTTAACTTGAGGTCTTTTAGCTTTCAAAAATGGCAGTAAGAAACCAACAGCTTTATAGACTGGAATGCCGGCCAGTCCATACATAATAACGTCAACAAAGCTGAGGGTCTTCGATTGTCTGTGCATTGCCTTTAACTGTTTTGGTATGCTTTCGCTAAATAATGCATGAGAATTTATGATTTCATTTGGAATTTGGTCACCAGATGCCGCCACTATTAAGCAAAGAATCCATGCAGCGATGAAAAGTGAAGACAGATGTAGAAATGCCATTTTTTTTTTCAACCTGAAAAAAAAAAAAAAAAAAAAAAAAAGTAGATATATATAATAAATGACTCTTAAGTATAACAATAATAACATGTCCTGACACTTTTCTGTTAAAGCCATATCACTTGACGCATTGTTTGCTTGTTTGGGGTGGGGATATTTTCTACTAATTAATTATCTTGATAACAATCCCCGTTTTTCGTCTAATAATTTTTTTTAATTGCAGTGGGATTTGCCAAGATTTCTACTTCGGATTTGCTAAGAGGTGAAGAAGCGACTACAATATTCCTCCAAGAGAGACATGTTCTTCACAAAGAAAGGCTGTATTCGAATACCCACTTCATGAAATTAAAATATAACTCAAAGTTGAGGTGGTTATGTGAGTTTACTCATGTCTAGAAGAATGCAATCTGATATCCGAACAAAAAAAGCGATTTGTTGGATAATTCACTCCTTTCATCACTGGCGTATGATTCATTTATTTATGTTGTCATCTGCGTTTTTCAAACCAAAGCGCAAACTCTTTGTTATTTCGTCCTAACTTTAAAAAATTCGGTAGATTCAGGAAAATTGGAGAAACCAATGAAAACTTATTCATAAGAAAGAAAAAAAATTCGTAGGCTGTGTTCTTTCCCAGCAATAGTTTTCGAGAATTTTGTCGCGGGTAGTGAATGTTCTTTAATGTCTTTCCCGATTGTTACTTTTTGTCTAGTAACGACTCAGAGATATAGGGAAAGAAATAAGACAAAATGCGCCAATATGGGTGCCGAATATGCATGCTGTGGCTTTAATGGAAAAGTACCATCTGTTAAAGAACTGAATGCACAAAATGCATATTTTTTAAGAAATTTGCTGTTCGTTTTCTCTCATTTATTTACTACTAGCAGCTACGCGGCCAGCCTTCGTCTGGCTTTTAAGTGTATCGAAAAAAATGCCTGAAGGGAACACCAAACGTTACATTTAAAAACTGCGCAGAATTTTTATCTGCAGAACAACATCAAAAAAAAACAAAAATTTAAAAAAAAAATGTATTAAATATAGAAAAATTAGAATGAAATAGGCAATATCACTTAATACAAATATTAATTATCCTAATAAATAAATTAACCAACTTCTCTTTGCCTTCTCTCAACAAACGTCCAGTATCCAAGAGAATCATTAAATTTAAAAACTGTACAGAATTATCGCCCTTATTTTTCCAAGTAGCAACAGTGCTGATTTTCAAAAGTCAGCAGTCCAGTATAATACTGAATGAAAAACTGTTACAAAATCACATTTCTAAAAGAATGAAACTATTCAAAATGATGCGATAAAATCGAAAAGATAAAATTAAAAAAATCTGACTTGAATTTTGAAAATATCGCTTCGAGATACTCTGGCTCTTGTCTAGATGCACCTATATACCGAATTTCGTAGCCCTGGGTCTATTAGCTTACGCGCAGCACGAACGAAAGACACACAGAATCTTTCTTTTATTATATGTAGAGATTACGTTTTGGCATTTTGCGTTAGTTCACTATAAATGTTGGTTCACGTTTCAAATTGTTGCTATCAAATATTAGAGCTCTGTAATATATTTAAAGAAATTAAATAATGAAGAATCTGCATAAATGTATGTATATTTCTCGCATTGTGATAAAACAACGGTATCTAGAGCCATCCAATTTTGAATAACGTAATTCTTCACCGAATATGGGCAACTGGAAGCCTTAATTTGGAATTTGTTTTATTATTGATTTCATATTTTGTAACACTTTAACGAATTTTTAATTAACAAACTCAACGATTTCAAATCGGGCAATGGCAACACTGTACGAAAACAAAAAAACATTTTTATTTCCAGCGCGCCAGACTGTGTATCGGAAGTTCTAAAAATATGCTCATTTTAAAATTATTTTTCGACATTGCTGTTGAGTTGAATTTTATGGTTTAAGTGCGAAGAACATGCATGATGTTTAGAAAATAAAGGTGTACACAAAACTTTTAAAAAGGCCCCTTTGGGCGTAATGTAAAATCTGAAAGCTTTCAGAGCTTTTTTTTTTTTTTATTTTAATTTTATTTTTTTACATGAATTCAGAGTAATTGTTACTTCTTAAAATGTCACTGAATTTTATACAGGATTATTTCTTTAAAATTATTTAACAATTTTTCTTTATAATTCCTTCCTTCTTTTCTTTGGCAGTTGAAATAATTGAAAACTTTATCACGAAACAAGTAATGAAAATTCAGCATTTGAATACAATGAAGCCAACATATAGATCGAAAATTTTAAGTAAATGACAAACAAGAAATGATGCAGCAAATATTGGCATAACCCTTTCTCTCACAGTTAAAGCTGGACACGGCATGAACTCTTGCAGTCTGTTACAATATAGGCCCATATCCTGAAGTAAATTTTATAATTTAAAGCCTTTGTGTTTAGGATATTTCCTGTTTGTGCTGAATATAAATAAAAAATGAGGATATTATTTTTAACATATGTTTTGTCGAATTATTATTTTGGTTATTTTCGTTCACAACTGCTTACTTCGTTTTAATTACAGCATATTTCATCAGTTTTGAGGATAAAAATGATAAATTCTTCCAAATGTCTCTTACAGAGTTATGCAAAATTTTATTAAATGTTTTCAACCTCCAACAAAATCTATCGCAAAATGCCATAATAAATGGAAATAGCTGAAAATAATTATATCAATGTATACTAAGATATGCGAATGAAATTTTGGGACACGTTTTAAAAATAAAACAAGTTATTAAAACAAGTTTTGTGAAAATTTTTGAATTTTTCTGGTAATTATTTATTAAAGTGTCAGTTATGCTTTTTATAATTTCATGGATCTTGCAGATTATCCAGGAGTTATCCAAGAGTTTGCCTTCAATAACCTAAAAAAAAAGAAAGAAAAGAAATTCTGCCGTCCTAAAAAAAAGCATTTTATTACAAAAATAAATAAATATGAAAAATTTCTGCAGAAAAAATATTATTAAATTTGTTTTCATGCAAATCAGAAAAAAATCTTTAGCCAAACCATTAGTTTCGAAGCAATTTTTAATTTCATATACTATTTTTTGGTGAAGTTTAGTTTATACTTAAATTATAGGCATAAGAAAGATAGTTTGGTTTATGTAAGCTCATATATCTCTAGAATACCTGGGCGTATTTAAAATAAACTCTATTTCTTATACTTTTAATACAAAAATGTGAAAGTAGTACAAAAGTTTGATATTTTATTTACCTGTTAAATAATCCTATATAATTTATTGCGTCTTTTTGTTTTTACTTTGTTCTATTTCAATTCGAATGAAATAAATTTCCTGCAAACTCCTTTTAAATCATTTTCATGTTAAATGAAACCATTTTATAACGTTTTCCCATTCAGTATCAATTTTCCTTGCTTTTTTTTTTTTTTTTTTTTTTTTTTTTCCTTTGAGAACATACAGACTCCCCGTGCACCACATATGTACAACACGGGGCTTACAGAAGTAAGTTGACTAGAACATTAAAGGTTACATGTATAAATAAACATTGAAAATTACATGCATAAATAAAGCGAACAAAAGCAGAGAACAGCAGTCTGGACTTCACGAAAACAGATAAGTTCACTGGCCAAGTCACTCCGAACATTTTCAAATCGTTCTGTAAGCATAATCTAGGGCCATCAAATGTAGGGGCACGAGAAAATCAAATGTTCCACATCCTGAGGACCTCTTTTTTGAACATTCACATAAATTGTTTGATCGTAGATTAAAACGAAACAGATAAACTTGCAAATTTACCGTGACCAGATAAAAACTGAGACACTTTAAAATTTAACGAGAGGAAAGACTCGGAGTTCAGTCTATGGTAAATAGAAGGAAGGAACGTTTTGGTGACTTCAGCATTACAAGATGAAATGTATTCCTCATTCCACATAGCTAAAGCTTTTTTAATAATGAAAGGACTTCCAATAACTCTTTGGAATGCTAATGTTGATATCAATGGGTAAATTTAAGGCATCTTTAGCTAAGAAATCAGCTCTTTCTTTCCTTCCGTAGAAACCATGATGAGCACGCACATAAGCAAAGCAGATATCAATACCTCTAATTCTAAGTGAGCTAACAGTTACTAGGGTTTCGATAACTAATTTATCGCAGCTGGTAATACTGTTCAAAAGTTGAAAAGAGGAAAGAGAATCATAACAAATAAGGTACTTGAGGATGTAGTCCCATGATCTTGGATCCATTTGACGGCAAGATAAATGCACAGAAGTTCTGCTTGAAAAACTGTACATTCATTCCGTATACGGTGTCTAAGAAAACAAATCTCGGAATGGCCTTCAAAAAGAACAAATGCAAGGCCAACCTTGTTGTTCATCTTGCTGCCATCTGTAAAGAAAACCATATGAAAACTTATTTCAGCAGTCTCTTTATAATCGCAGAAATTTATGGGTTCTAAAGAAGCGGGATGAGGAAGATCAGTGAAGGGGACAATTCCATTAATACAGTTTTCCGAAGCATGAGTTGCCAATGACTCAAAAATATTATTCTTATATGCAATTTCAAAATCAATAGGCGGAACTCCTGCAAGAAGAAAAGTAGCCTCATAGCTTAAGGTTCTATAACCACTAATAATACGAAGAAGAATTCTCCATTGAATCTTTCTTAAATTTCTTTTGTTAATCTTCTTGGCAAGAACATGTCCCCAAGCACGACAGCCGTATGAAATGAAAGGTACAATACACTGCTTATACATGAGTTTCTCAACATCGTAGCTTACTCCAAAAGTATTTTTTGGCAATTCGGTGAAAGCTATTAATAATTTTTTCACATTTAGCAGAAAGGAATTCAATGTGCTTTTTCCATGTTAATTTTTGGTCAAGAATGACACCAAGATATTTAACATTTTCTACAAATTCCAACGGAGAATTATCCAGCATCAAGAAGCAATATTTTGTTCATCAAACGTACTGGGAACAAGCATAGCTTTACTTTTTGAAGGATTGAAAGTGAGTTTATGAGAAATCGCCCAACTGGAGACAAAAT